ACACTATACGAGACTCTATATATAAGAAAATATATCATATTTTATTCCAAAATTAACAAAATAGGCCATATTTTTAAAAGTAATATGTTAGAATAATAGTAAATCATTAAACCCTAAATTAAGTATAAATCCCCTCGAGTTTAAGCGAATTACCTTTTTAATTAAACCTTTAATCTAAGCATTTTTCTTAATTGTTCAAATTTTTGGTTTTCAAGTCGAACTCAATAGGTTTAACATGTAAACATAGATAGGAAGCTACATGTCAACAAAATAAACAATTAAGCCTATATTTATTTATATACCTCTGAAACAGAAAGATGGACAGTGTGTTGTTGTCCTCCTGGAACACTAATTTGATCATAAAGCAAACCAGGGTAAATTGAATTATGAATTTGGACATAACCTCCTGGACATAACGCATTGTAACATCCTTTTGGTTGTTGATCCGACTGCAATATATAATTAATTAGTGCATATATATGTTCAGTTGATTATGCTCATACCAAAATGAACCAAAAACATCTTAAATGATCATCAGACTAGAGAAATAAATATACTAATTCATTACTCAATACTCACCATCCAAAATGTGGTTAGTCTTGGACGGTCATCAGGATATAGTTTTGTATGCACCTGAAAAATGAAGCAAACGAGAAGTTAGATGTGTTAAATTTGAAATGTGATAAAAAGTAAACATACAAAAATCTATATCAAAAATATTAATTTTATTTCGATCAAAATAGAATTACTTTTATGATGATAATCAAACCGCTCCAATCTAAACACGGACAAAATCCGATATAAGAATCTTAATATATATGGTTATGATTTAATTACTCTTTAAATGTATAAAAAGAGCTAGTATTGAATCCAAACTAAAGCCAAGAAAGATAAACAAATGAACTGAAAACTTGAACTTCTTTATTCGTTTTAAAGAAAAGAAACGCAAATTCTTTCAAAAATTAAAGAAAACCAATGAGTTACTATTCTTCCAAAACCGAAATTGAACTTCACGGAGTGACACCCTTAACAATACGTGTAACAATATTCAAACATCTTTGAGTTATTACAAATACAACTAAAATCGATCAATGGAGTTTGATGCATTATATACTTACAGCCCAACCAAACTGGATGCTGCTCATTGAGTTTCCTTGTATGTAATTAAGCCAAATCCAAGCCTTACTAAATTGATTTTGCGTCACTCGTGGCTTGTTAATATTGAACAATGCTTGTGCTCCACGCCATCTTTTTGTCGTATTTTCAAATGTCCTAACAACTGCATACTATAAATATTTTTTTCTTAATAACAATTACTCTTGTACCACTATTTTTTAACATAATTAATAAGTTAATAGCTAGAAATATATGTTTAATGGTTTTTTTGTAGCTTAATTAAGGCACTTACATGTAGATGGGTCTCTGTAAATAATTTTGGCGGGTGATTAGGTCTTTTACTTTTTTGGGACTTTAACTTTGCGGAACCAAAAGGTTTATTTTGTATTTTTGTAAGTGAACGGTTCTTTCTCTTCTTTTTAATCCGACGAGCTTGTTTAAGGAGACTACCTAAACACAGAAAAACGAAAAAAAAAAAGAATTGTGGTTATAGTTTGATGGTTTTAAAAAAAAAAAAATTTAACCTCTTTTTTATCATATATCATTGTAAACTGTAAATGCAAATGAAAACTTTCTTGTTGTTTGTGTTTAACATTTATTATCTTTACAGCTTTTTGTTCAGAAATGTTTGAAATTCATTATGTTTTCCATCAAATTAAGTTGATTAATCTTAAGAGCTTTTACCTGAATGTTGTGGATGGATAAGATTATTGGTTAAATTGGTTTTTGGTTTGTGAATGGGTACTTGTCCTTGAGGACATTCTTCTGATCCCTTCAAAACAATCTTTGTGATTGTGTTATCATTAGAAGTAGAGAGCATTGATAAAAGCTCTCGACTTGGTCTAGTCTACAATAAAAAATTGACAACAATTGATTAGGTTTATTCCAAGAAATGTATATTTATAAAGCTTGATAATTAGTATGCTTAATGGCAAATAAACGATACCTGTATTTGGTGATTCTTCATTTGAGGGTGTTGCAACGCAGATTGTTTGTACATAGAGACGCATTCGAATTCGGTTTCTTGATTCTGGAAATACAATTTAACACATTTTTTATATGAATGTTGAATTGTAAAGAGTTTATTGATATGTCCTTACATTTTTTTACATAATTTTTCAAAAAAAAAAAAAAAGAGTTTTCAAAAAGATATTGATAAGTGAAGTATACATACGAAATACTTGTTAATTAACGTACCGGAATTGGTTTAGCAATACCATTGATGCATATTAGACATAAGGAGAAAAACTTCAACCAAAGAGAAGCCATTGGC